TCTACTTATTCATCAAGTTTTTCCAACCATGGCCTCAAGGACTTCTAGCCTCAAATTCTTCTCACTACTAATCTGTTCGATTGCCATTGTTCAGATGGCGACCGCTGGAGACCCGGACATTATTACTGACTTCATTGCTCCTCCAAATGGAACAGTAGATGGAAACTTCTTCACATACACTGGCTTTCGTGTTCTTGTTGGAGGAGGCCCTCCTCCCACAGCTTTCACGGTGTTGAAGGCAACCTTGGCAGAGTTCCCTGCTCTTAATGGGCAGAGTGTTTCTTATGCTGTCCTTCAATTCCCATCTGGCACCACTAACCCACCGCACACTCATCCTCGCTCTGCTGAGCTCCTTTTCCTTGTTGATGGTACCCTTGAAGTTGGTTTTGTTGACACGAAAAACAACCTCTTTACCCAGACTCTGCAAACAGGTGATCTGTTTGTGTTTCCTAAGGGACTTGCCCACTTCCAGTACAATGCTGATTCACAAAACCCAGCTCTAGCAATTTCAGCCTTTGGAAGTGCAAATGCAGGAACAGTATCAATCCCCAGCACCTTGTTCGCCACCGGCATTGACGACAATGTCTTGGCTATCTCCTTCAAGACAGATGTAGCCACCATTCAAAAGCTCAAGGCTGGTCTTGCTCCCAAACCATAAAGATAGAGTCACAACATCACAGAATTAATAAGCAGTAGTTTAATGTCTTTGTTCTTCTTTTGTTTTTGTTGTTTTATTTGCTTTGAATAAGCACCCATAACCATAAGGTGTTGAAAGTTCTGCATTGCATTTTTTGTCACAATTCATTTATTGTCAACTATATGAGCACACATCCCTCTAATATTTGTTGTTAATTTGAGAAGAAAGCCTCACTTGCCTTTACGCTTGTTGAACACAATTTTCATATAGAAAATCATTTGGTAACTTTTTGTAATTTTACACTCTGGTATAAAAGAAAAAAGGAGGAGGAAACTAGGCGGAGATAATTACCTGAAATTCTCAAGTACAACAAGCGCACGTACACAATGCCACTCTCGCATTCTCCACATCCCCTGCTAGTCACCAAAGTATCTATGAAATATTTCGTCTATGGAAGTGTGAAAAACTGCCGCGAAAGATCTTCAGAAACTTGTAAAAATGTTGTTAAATAGTTTTTACAAGGAGAATTTTGTCCCTAGAAATATTAGACTATAAAAAATAAAAAATAAAAAACAAAAAAAAAGAGAAATTTCATCAAGACTATTGTCAGTTATACTTCTCTCCACTTCTACTGTGCAACCAATACTAGTGGATAGTGTCACTTTTTTTACCTTTGTTACCAGACATATAATCGTATGCAGTCAATATTGCGCCAATGCAAGTATTGAGACGTGTACATAAATTTTTCTTTTTGGAATAAGTTATTCTTGCATATGTGTCAAACTATAATTTGCATGAACAAGAAATGGCTCATTCCAGAGCCTTGATTCAAGGACATGGAATGGGTAAAGTCTGAGTAGAGTTCTCATGTTCAACTGTCCATGAAAGAAAATGCGTAATTATCTTAGTACTTAAGTGCTCAACTATATAATATTCTGTTTCTTTCGCGGCAGTTCTTTAATTTGTTTGAAAAGTGAGAAACAACTTTCAATCCAATTTCTCATTGTTTTGCTTATTTTTCTCAAATATGGGTTGATTCCAATGAAATTATCATCCAAATTTATTTATTTATTTATTTTAAATTCAGACATCACGTAACTCGGTTTCTGTTCTTCTTATCCATCCAAATTCAAATGCTCTCATTACCCCAAAAAAAAGAAGTAATTCAAATCCTCTCCAAGACATTTTGAGTTTGTGGGAGAGGGGTAATCTATATATATGTCTATGATTCCATGGACTATATATTTATGCACCTTGCAGCTGTACCATGTTCTGATTACTAGAACTTAGGGATGCAGATAGTCTATATATGGCTGCAACTCAGCAATGTAAAAACTGTGTGTAATTGTCTAAGTTCAATGTATTTTATGTATAAAAGTGAATCTAATATCGCAGGAGAAGTAACAAAGAAAAATAACACACACAACTGTAACACTGGAACTACAACAAGAAAGCAAAAGCATTATTGTTTTCATCTCCAATTGACATCATAGGCCTGCAGCAAGAATATATTCATTTCCCATACTCTATAAATCCTGTCCTTGTCGAAGCCCATGTACCTCATCAACCTATACCCAAAATCTAGCAATAGTTTCATATCACATTTCTGAAAAAGTAATCAAGTCCTCAACCATGGCCTCAAGGACTTCATCCCTTAAATTCTTCTCACTACTAATCTGTTCGATTGCCATTGTTCAGATGGCGACCGCTGGAGACCCAGACATTATTACTGACTTCATTGCTCCTCCAAATGGAACAGTAGATGGAAACTTCTTCACATACACTGGCTTTCGCGTTCTTGTTGGAGGAGGCCCTCCTCCCACAGCTTTCAAGGTATTGAAGGCAACCTTGGCTGAGTTCCCTTCTCTTAATGGGCAAAGTGTTTCTTATGCCGTCCTTCAATTCCCATCCGGCACTACTAACCCACCGCACACTCATCCTCGCTCTGCTGAGCTCCTTTTCCTTGTTGGTGGTACGCTTGAAGTTGGTTTTGTTGACACGAAAAACAACCTCTTTACCCAGACTCTGCAAGCAGGTGATCTGTTTGTGTTTCCTAAGGGACTTGCCCACTTCCAGTACAATGCTGATTCACAAAACCCAGCTCTAGCAATTTCAGCCTTTGGAAGTGCAAATGCAGGAACAGTATCAATCCCCAGCACTTTGTTCGCCACCGGCATTGACGACAATGTCTTGGCTATCTCCTTCAAGACTGATGTAGCCACCATTCAAAAGCTCAAGGCTGGTCTTGCTGCCAAGCCATGAGGATATATATAATTGCTATCCATTAAAAAGTAATTTAATATGTTTGTTCTTCAGGTTTTTCCTTTGTTTGTCAAACAAAAAAATGGTTTGAATAATTACCCTTAATGTGTCAAGAAGGGTGCCATCAACCTTTATTACATTTTTCATTGTTTGTCTCAATTCATTTGTTGTCAAGCTATATATAATAAGACTCTCCTTTGGTTGTATCATGGTAGTTAGTTGGGGTACAAAAGAGCCTCACTTTCTTTTCTATTGTGGGACGTCTCAATTTTTATTTATATAATCATCTGGAATTTGGCACTACATTCTGATGTAAAAAGGAAAAATGGGAGGCCAACGGGTCTAGCCTAGTGGCAAAATGTCTTGACTTGCAGATCAGAGATCTCAAGTTCGAATCCCATGGCAGCTTGGTTGTTTTTTGTGTCCCTTGTAGTTTAAACTATTACTTATACAAAAAAAAGAGAGATATTTAGTCATATACCCATTCTTAGCACTAATGATATGGATAAACCCTACACCATTTAATTTATACAAACAAATCCAAAAAAATCCAAAAAGTGACAGCTGGCCCTATTGAATTTAATTTGATTATTAAACTACTTTGATGTCCTATTGAGTGTTTTGGGGTTTTTTTTTCTTTTTTTGGTTGAGGTTTTGGGTTTTTGGAGTTGGGCTTGTTTTAAGAAATTGATAGCAGTTTTGTAATTTATAAGAAGTTAAAAGACTCTTTGTTATGTTGTAAATAGGCTTTGAGTGTGTTTCTAAAGTTCATTTCATATATGGTTTTTTATTTTTTAATAATTTGGGTGCTTAATTATATTGGGTATGTGAATCTCCCAAAAAAAAAATTGGGGGTAAGGGTGGGAAGGTGTAGATAAACATTAATTGTATAATGTCAATAATGAATTAAATTGCTCCATAATTTTTTTTATAGCATTGACTAGTAGTTTCTTTACAAAAAATAATCTGGAGACAGGTCAGACATCAAACAAGAGTCTGTTAGTATGAAGACAAACCATTCAGTCAATGGCAAGCATCAGCAACAAAGTTAGCTTCACAAAACATGAGAGAAATGGCTTCTCTACTGAATTGGGGCAGGCCATGGTTAATTAAGTTGGGAGTAGGCAGGATTAGGAAGTCATGCAGCTTTTCTTGCCCTGCAATTTACACTTAACACTACTGTTGGAGTTGGAGTTTGGCATTCATTTTTGTATCAAACTTTTTTCGGCAACGAGACAATAAGAAAAGGATAAAACGACTAGCACCAGCAATGAAGTCGTGAAGAATGTAAAAATGTCAGGTGGGAAAATTGACAAAAAAAAGAAGGTGATTGGTTAGTACTACTGATATCACCGAGGTCTTTTGTAATAAAACCACACACTTGATATTGGTGTTGGATGAATTAGCAGTGTGCTAGATCTTTACTCAGTATGTGACATCCACATGACCCATTGTAAAATTTGATACACGTGTGGCGTACTAAACAGTAGTTCCACTGCTAATATATGAGTGCCATTATGTATTTTTGTTCTGCATTTTGTAAGAACAACGAGATGACAGTAAGAAACGGCTAATTTTTGATCTATACAAGCTCCCGCTCTATAGTCTGGCCATAAGACAAATTTCAAGTTACGCTGGAGCTGACATTGTACCTTTTATTGTCGCCAAGAACAGAAATATATCCTTTGGTGTCCAAAATTAATTATCATCAGCAATGAATGTGGTGAATCCAGCCTATATGGCTCGACAGAATGGATGAACATCCAAAAAGGGTCAAAGAATATACTTTATTATATTTCATTTTAATACCAACTGTTGGAGAACATAAGCAAAAGTTGTAATATTCTTGGTATATATCTTTTCCAAGAAAAACTACAAATGAACAACTGTAAAACTGCAGCTACGGCAAGGTTATCATTGTAATCTTCATCTCCGGTTAACATCAGAAAGGCCTGCGGCAACAATATATTCCAACACCAATGTTTTTCCCTTGGGTTTCATACAATCTGCACCCCATAAATAGCGCAGTTGGTGAAGCCCTAAAATCTCATCCAACTACCTAACACTATAGTGATATCGAATGGACACATTTCTTCCAATCATGGCATCAAGAACTTCCACCCTCAAATTCTTCTCACTACTAATTTCTTCCTTTGCCATCGTTCAAATGGCAATGGCCGGAGACCCGGACATTATTTCTGACTTCCTACTGCCTGCAAATGGAACAGTAGATGCAAACTTCTTCACTTACACCGGCTTTCGTGTTCTTGTTGGAAGCGATCCTCCAACTGCCTTCAAGGTATTGAAGGCAACCTTGGCTGAGTTCCCTGCTCTTGATGGGCAGAGTGTTTCATATGCCGTCCTCGAATTCCCATCCGGCACTACTAACCCACCACACACTCATCCTCGTTCCGCTGAGCTCCTTTTCCTCATTGATGGTACCCTTGAAGTCGGTTTCATTGACACAAAAAACAACCTTTTTACACAAACTCTTCAAGCAGGTGATTTGTTTGTGTTTCCCAAGGGACTTGTGCACTTCCAGTACAATGCTGATTCACAAAACCCAGCTCTAGCAGTTTCTGCCTTTGGAAGTGCAAATGCAGGCACTGTATCACTCCCCAACACTCTCTTCACCACCGGCATCGACGAAAATGTCTTGGCTAACTCCTTCAAGACTGATGTAGCCACCATTCAAAAGCTCAAGGCCGGTCTTGCTCCCAAGCCATGAGGAAAAAATCATAACCAGTAGTTTTATGTCTTCAGATTTCTGTTATCTTATTTGTTTTTAATAATTATCCATAATGTGTTGAAAGGGTATCCCACAACCTGTTTACATTGTTTGTCACAATTCATCTTGTCAACTATATATATTATCAGAGTTTTCTCTTGTTGTGGTTAATTTCAGAACAAATGTGGGCAGGGAGGAGATTATTATGACAAATTCTTACATAAAGCATGTGTATACGACACCACTCTCACTTTCACAGGTAATATTTTGGTGTGAGGTCACATCGCCACATGGTGTTATCAACTTACTCATATTGTAATTCGTTAGTTTGTTAATTAATAGCATACCTTAAGTTGATGAACGAATGATAACTTGCGCCTGAAGTGACTTGACTCCGAATTAAACTATTGTGCTATGAATGAGGAACTTACTCAGATTGGTTCTTTTATTTGCCTTGAATGATAAATGACTTCATAATTCATAGGTTGAATCAAATAAAAAAATAATCGCAAAGCAAGATAAAAAGATTGAATTAATTTCACATACAATCCAGTTCGAATCACTATTATAAAGATAATAGCAAAGAAGTCTCATTATGGAAAAGCTAATTAAATAGCATAAAAATAAAGCAAGGCAAAGATAAATAAAGATGACTCGGGCCGAAGAGTAATTTGGACCCACCGATTATTGCATGAAAACAAGAATTGCAATACGAATTGATCATCAATCATATCAACAAAAGGGTGTGGCAGAGCAAAAGTGCAAATTTTGCCGTTTTACCTCCTGACTATAACGCTTTTCAAACTTAACCCCGCGATTATTTTCTCTATTAATTTAGCACTCGAACTCCTGTCAATCTTGCACCTACCGTTAAATTTGAGGCTATTTCATTCAAATTGCCATTAAAAAAGTCAAGTGAGGTGCACACGCTTTGTATTTTGAGGGCAATCTGGTCCTGCTATATACGCACACGTCCCCTCTGTAAAACGGCTGTTAAATATATAAGCAAAAGTTGTAAAACTGCGACCCCACGGATGGGCTCCAATCTAAGGAGGAAAAAAGGCGCATATCTTGCATTATTGCTGTTACTTGCTGGATTATTTGGAAATCAAGGAACCGTTTTGTCTTTGATCAATGCAAACCACAACCTCCCTTGGCCATCAAAACCATTCTTTCTCAAGTGGAGGAGCTAGCTGTGTTGAATAACAAAAGGAATGTGAGGAGGCTTTGCGAAGGACCCTCTCCAAATCCTACCTCTTGGACAGCCCCGGATGCCCATGTTATTAAAGTTAACTTTGATGCTGCTTGGTTGGCATCCTCTGGCAAAGCAAGAGCAGGTCTTATTGCACGAAATGCTAATGGTGAGTTCGTGGGAGCGAAATGCCTATCCTTTCAAGCGGAATCTGCGATCATGGCTGAGGCAATTGCTGGTTTAGAAGGTTGCAAATGGGCATCTGAGCTGGGCTTATCTGAGGTTTGCTTTGAATCTGACTCCAAAGAGCTGGTTGGGAGCGTGAAAGGAAACATAAAACGTGGAAGATGGAATCTATACCCACTTTTATCAAGGATTCGTGAATGCAACTCCATCTTCTCAAACTATAACTAGGCATGGATTGGTAGGAAAAACAATGAAGCGACAGATCACCTTGCGTCGCTGGCACTATCGAGGTCGAGTCCGGAAGTCTGGGTATCCAGGCCCCCCACCTCTCTTGTGCATATTGTGGGAGCAAATTTCATCCCACTAGAATATTCGCCAAAGATTCCTTCGTCTTCTCCACTTCTCTTTCTCCCTGCAAAACAGATCGGGGTAAAAGGACCACACCCGGGGGGTGTTGGCCAAAGGCCCTCCGATGCCTATGTTAGGTAGGGTATTCAAGAAAAACCGGGTGGCCGGAGCTTGTGTGGTGGCCGGGGCCTGGTGTCAGAGAGAGAAAGAAAGTGGTGGCTAGGGTTTGTGAGAAATAATTTCTGCAGAGTTTCAGTAGGAATTTAGACGTACCTTAACCTTTGTGTGTGACCATCCTTTTATAGTGGTCTCGGAGGCTAGGGTTTCAGAGGAATAATTCCATATTGGTAAGGAATTATTCCTCCTCGATTTGGCATTGATTTGATTAATTAGGGATTTGATTTATTAGGGTAAGTCAAATCCCTAATTGTGGGTAGGAATCAAATCAAATCTAAATTTAATTAGGTATTATCAATTTAATTGGGTAACCCCCAATTAAATTGAGTAACTCCCAATTAGGTTGAGTAATTCCCAATTAGGTCAAATAATCCCCAAATGGAAGGAATTATTTGACCTAGGGTTTTGATTTAATTGGTTCCCACAAATGCTCCCCAGCTTCTGCATGGCGTGTGGCGGTATGTAGGAGATGTGAATTATCTGTTGGGCTGTCCAGCTGTAACTGGGCTTCCTTCTTTAATTTGGGCTCTTGCGTGGAGGAGGTCTTTGACTTGCCACTTTGGTATTTTAACTTGGGCTGTCCAGCTGTAACTGGGTGGAGGCGAGCCAGCCTGCTGCTGGAGCAGGTGGCAGTTGGGGTCGGCTTATTTGTGGTTGATCCAAACTACTTCAATTCCTTCTTTTGTGTCACGAACTAGGAACAGTATGAGTCAAGGCGATCATGTGTGGAGCAAGGACATGTTGGAAGTCAGCGGCAGATGGGTAGGGAGGTTGGCGACGGTCCGCTCATTCCTCACACCTACTGTGATGGTAAGTTGTATCCCTTTGATATGCTACAGTAGCCATGGAATTCTTTGCTGTGTGTCTGACTAACTTTTGTCTTCTGCTTGTAGAAAATAACATTCACAAGAAGCTCGATCTTGGCCCGAACACGATCAATGTTCATCAAGCTTTGAACATCCTTGCCAGGTTCTGTGGATTGCGCTGGTTGCTGAGTGAACATCGGAAGGAGGCTGATGGTCTACTCCTAGCCGAAGATGTTGAAAGAAGGGAGCTGCATGGCTCAGACCTTGATAATCTGCCAGTTGAGCGGGAGAAGTCCTCGACCAAGCTTCCTCATTCTTCCACGATCAAGTCTTCCGTAAGGGGGTCTCGTCTGTTGAGAATGTTCCTATGGGAATGTTTCTTCTTCATCTGCTAGGATCAAGCGCCTCGTCAGCACGAACAGTAAGAAGATCAATGGCATGCAGGAGGTCTGGGATATTCTGCTCAGGTATCCGCTCGAACTGCCTAAAACCCATGTTCTACCTTGTGAGGAGGCTGTTGAGAAGCAGGGTTTGAGTTGCTTGTGCCGATCCTGGGGATCAAACTGAGAGGACTGTACATCTGTCTAGCAATCACGACTTGTCTGCAAAGCCACGAACAGTCAAGCATAGAGCTGACTCAATGTTGCGAGTTTTGGCCAAGAGAGCTAAAAAGTCGTCCGCTCGAGCAAAGAGTCCTTAAGTTGCGCGAACTGCCGATCCAGAAGTTGGTGATAGCTCCGCTGGTCAAGTTGACACTCATGTTGAAGCCACGGAGGCATCCAAGCATGAGATTGTTTGCTAATGCGTACAAGCTGGGATACTCGATTGCAAGAATAGTGCTTCTCCTTGTTGCCCTCTCGAACATGAAGACGGTAAGCAACTTTATCTTGACCTGCCCCCTGCTCAAAGTGAGCAAAGCAATGTTGTGGATGCAGAAGCAGTTGAAGAGCAGATAGCAGATGAAGCTGTAATGGAGGAAGACAACTCCCAAGGTGGCGTAGCTGATAAGGTTAGACCATATGCGAAGGAGTAGGCAGGTGAGGCCGTTGAGTAGATGGTGCTGGTTGGCTGCTTTGTTATGGAAGTTTCAGTTGTCTTTCAAACTTCAATTCTCATTGTATCTTGTAAGTGTACGTCCGGAGACATAGCACTTGAAAGAGACTCCATTGAGTTTGTACTCGCGAAATAGCTTGCCTACAATGGAGATAAGGCTCGTCGCCTGTGTGCGTATGTCGGGGACATGACGCTTGAAAAGACTCCATGAAGTTTGTACTCGAGGAGTAGCTTGCCTTCAGTGGAGGTGAGGCTTGTCGCCTGCTAGCATATGTCGGGGACATAATGCTCGAAAAAAGACTCCATTGAGTTTGTGCTTCGTGGAGCAGCTTGTCTGCAATTGAAATGAGGCTTGTTGCCTGCGAGCGTATGTCGGGGACATAATGCTCGAAAAAAACTCCATTGAGTTTGTGCTTCGAGGAGCAGCTTGTCTACAATGGAGATGAGGCTTGTCGCCTCTGCGAGCATATGTCGGGGACACAATGCTCGAAAAAGACTCCATTGAGTTTGTGCTTCGTGAAGCAGCTTGTCTGCAATGGAGATGAGACTTGTTGCCTGTGAGCGTATGTCGGGGACACAATGCTCGAAAAAGACTTCATTGAAAAGCTTGCTCTTGTATTTATGTTGGTGTGAATACATCGCTTTATTGAATAAAGGAAATTAACAACAAAGGTAACATCAAAAGTAGTTCGTCTTTAATGGAAGTACAGAAGGCTCGTCGCCTGCTAAGAGCCAAGCTGGTAAGCGAAGAGTTTCATGGATAGTATCTCCGAAGGTGGTGGGCATTCCATTGTCTCGGAATTTCTTTTCCTTTTAGAGTATCAAGGGTGTAACTTCCTCTGCCCCCAGATCGGCTGATCACGTATGGGCCTTCCCAGTTTGGCTTCATCTTCTTTGACCCTTGCCTTGGTGCTGTGATGAAAGTTTTTCTAAGCACAAGGTCTCCAGGCTGAAACTGTCTGATCTTGGCCTTCCTGTTGTAGTAGGACGTCAACTGCTGCTGGTAGGCGGCAGCTCGAACAATGGTCTTTTCTCGTTCTTCTTCGAGCAGATCAAGGTTGACTTTCATCTGCTTGCAATTTTGGTCAAGACTGCCCACTTCAATGCTCATGGAAGGGACTGTGATGTGTGGGGGAATGATTGCTTCTGTCCCATAGGCCAGGGAAAATGGTGTCTCTTCGGTCGATCTCCTTTTGGTCGTGCGATAAGCCCATAGGACTCCTGGCAGCTCGTCGACCTATTTTCCTTCTGCGCCTTCCAATCTTTTCTTTAGGCAGTCCAACACTATCTTGTTGGATGCCTCTGCTTGGCCATTGCCTTGCGGGTATCGGGGTGTTGACAGGTGCTGTTTGATGCCATACTTCGCAAAGAATGCGGTGATCTGCCTGCCCACGAACTGTGTACCATTGTCGGTGACTATAGATTGTGGGCAACCGAATATGCAAATAATGTTCTTCCAGATGAATCGTTCAACATCGGCCTCCTTGGTAGAAGATAAAGCCTCGGCCTCGATCCATTTGGTGAAGTAATCAGTGGCAACGATCATCATCTCTTTATTGGCAGGTGCCGTCGGCATAGGTCCCACCAAGTCAATGGCCCATTGCATGAATGGCCATGGACTGTTTTGCGGATGGTATTCCTCAGCGGGCAGGCCAGGGACCGGCTTGTAGCATTGGCATCGATCACATCTTCGAGCATACTTTGTCGAGTCTTGGCGCATGGTAGGCCAGAAATAGCCGATGCTGAGAGCTTTCTGAGCAAGCGATCTGCCCCTAGCGTGATTTCCACATTCGCCGTCGTGTATCTTGCAGAGAACCTCGAGCGTTGTGGGTACTTGATGCAAGTGAGATGAGGCCCAGAGTATGATCTGCGGATAACATGTCGCTTTTCATGTAGTATCTTGCAGCCTTCTGCTTGATTTTTCTGGCCTCAGACTTGTCCTCGGCTAGGTTTTCATTCACTAGATAGTCAATGATGGGTCTTGCCAGCTAGGATCCTCATCGATCTGCATCAGGTCCGGCTGCTCTGCCTCTTCTATGCTAGGCTGGTCGAGGTGCTCGACCGGGATGGAGCGTCTGAACTGGGTATCCAGCGCCGATCCTAAGCTTGCTAGTGCATCTGCGTGCGCGTTCTTTGCTCTGGGAACTTGCTGGATGGTGAAGGTGGGGAAACGCCTTCACCACTCTTGGACTTTGTCAAGGTACAAGATCATCCTTGGTGCTTCGCCATGTATTCTCCTGAGGCTTGACTTGTGATCAGCTGGGAATCTGAGTAGATGGCCAGCTTTTTGATTGATAGCTCCTTTGCCAAGCGCAAGCCAGCGAGCAATGCCTCGTACTCTGCCTCGTTGTTTGAAGCTGGAAGCCAAGCGTGATAGCTTGCTCTAGCAGGGTTCCATCTGGGGTGATGATGACGACGCCTGCTCCAGCTCCTTTCTGGTTCGACGCTCCGTCTACGCGCAACTGCCACATGTCTCTGGGTTGGTCAGGTTCAGTAGAGGTCTTGTCTGCTCTCGAACTTTCCTTCTTTTTGCTGACCAGCTTCTCTTCTTCGGCTGATGGTGTGAATTCTGCAACAAAGTCTGCTAGGGCTTGAGCTTTTATTGCAGTCTTCGGCCGGTAGAGGAGGTCGTATTGGCTTAGCTCTATAGCCCACTTCATGAGTCGCTGAGAAGCATCAGGGCTGTGGAGGATTGATCTCAAAGGAAAGTCGGTCATGACGATGACTCGGTGAGTTTGGTAATAAGGTCGCAGCTTTCTCGCAGAAACCACAAGGGCCAAAATGAGCTTCTCCAATTTCGGGTAGCGAGTCTCTGCATCGAGGAGAGCTTTTGACGTGTAGAATATCGGATGTTGGGCCCCAAAGTTCTTCTCGGATGAGAGCTGAGCTGACGGCCGAGTTGGACACTGCCAGGTACACGAACAAGTCTTCACCAGGAACTGGCTTTGAGAGAAGGGGAGGTGAAGTAAGGTAGGTCTTTTAGATTCTGGAAAGCTACTTCGCACTCTTCGTCCCATTTGTCTTTTTGTCCTTTCTTCAAAGCTTTGAAGAATGGTCTGCAATTGTCGGTAGATTTGAGAGGACCCACCTAACTCGTCTCCAGCCAGGGGCTCCCGACCATCTGCCCGTCAGACTTTGTATTTAATTCACTGTGGAGACAGGCCGGAATACCCATCTCGAGAATGGCTTGATTTGGGGCCCCCCCTGCGGGCCTGTGTCTCGATACCCCGTTTGCCCCGCCTCCCCTATCCCATTTTTTTCGCACGCCCCTACTCACTCACTTTTCCGGACCAGAGTGCGACACCGAAGTGCATTTACTTGGATTAGATTCATGCGATATTAGTGGAGAAGCTGAAGACCCTCGGTGAGGTTTTTGAGGTCGGCTTGACCCGCTTGGTCGGTTCCGGCTTTAACCAAGCTCCCCATAATTCGTCCAACGCCTCAACTGACCAGTGGTCCCTCCTGCCACCCCAATTTGCTCATTAGAAAAATTTTATTCACGAGCCTTGGTAGGGCTCCTGGCGTCTCTCAGCCAACAGGGGCACCTCTGATTCTTTCTTCACCTATTAGCAGTACGGTCCCTCTTTCGATGATGAAACACGGTTCCTTCGACCCTTTTTTTTTTTTTTTTTTTTTTTTTTTTTTTTTTTTTTTTTTTTTTTTTTTTTTTTTTTTTTTTTTTTTTTTTTTTTTTTTTTTTTTTTTTTTTTTTTTTTTTTTTTTTTTTTTTTTTTTTTTTTTTTTTTTTTTTTTTTTTTTTTTTTTTTTTTTTTTTTTTTTTTTTTTTTTTTTTTTTTTTTTTTTTTTTTTTTTTTTTTTTTTTTTTTTTTTTTTTTTTTTTTTTTTTTTTTTTTTTTTTTTTTTTTTTTTTTTTTTTTTTTTTTTTTTTTTTTTTTTTTTTTTTTTTTTTTTTTTTTTTAAAAAAAAAAAAAAAAAAAAAAAAAAAAAGGGGGGGGGGGGGGGGGGGGGGGGGGTTTTTTTTTTTTCTCCTTTACTACAAAAAGGAAAACCACGACGGGAATTCACCGTCGTGTATTCTGTTTTCAAATGGTCGTGGAATCCACCGACATCTTTTCCATAACCAAACCACGACGGTGAATAACCGTCGTTGTTAAAATAAAAAACGTCATCAAAAATAAAAACCGACGTCTTTGTGCTGCAAAAGACATAAAAAAACAGTCGAGGATGAGAATAGACGACCAACTCCAACAAAAACAACGTCGTTAAAAAGGAAACAGATGACAAATATAAATACGACGTCTTTACAATCATAATAGACGACGTTATTGACACCTACTACGTCACAACATTTCACACAACCGTCGTAAAATAAATTTTCCACTTCGATTTTTCTATGAATTATGACGTGGAAAGAGATGTCAGGGTCATTACTTACGACGCATGTATTTACAGAGACGACGTTGAATTTGATAAATAACGTCGGTTCCAAATAAATGAGAGCCGTATTACAGAATTTATACGTCATATTTTGAAAATAAACGACGTGGAAAAAATGATGGGGTCATTAATTACGACACAGTAATTTATAAGGACGACGTTGTCGTCTATATACAACGTCGGTACCATGAAAAAGACCGTCGTGTTTAATAATTTATACGTCTTCATTAAAAAAATTAACGTCGTCTAGTTCATAAATCTTAACGTCGACAAATTTAATGGACTTCAAATACCGTCGTGAATTCATCCTTTTCCACTTCGTTTATGAAAGAACATGCGACGTGGTAAATTCATGACGACGTCGTCTTTTGTAACGTTCAGGTTAAAGTTCTCGTCTTTTAGACGTCGGTGTTATGGGATTGGAGTCGTGTTATTTTGAATTACATGGCGGTTCTTTATGCTTGTCCGACGTGTTATCCTGGATAACTGTTTCACAATAGCGTCGTGGTTCTTCATTGTTACTTTGCTTTAAGACGTCGGTAAATATATTGCGGTCGTTGAATGCTCCAAAACGTCGTTATTTATTAGAACAGACGTTTGTTTTTCACATTTTTATCAAAACCGTCGTGTTTGTAATCTGGAACCAGTAATTTTTGTACTGATTGTTTTGTGGCCAAAACCTGTATAATGAAAGTGAAGAAATCACATTACAATATATTACAAAATTAATGTCATACACTGCCAATTACATAAAGCATCATTCAACCCATATATCTTCACACCCATCTCGAATATTTTGACTCCCTAACTCAACCACCACTTCATCAAATGTGTCAACATTTGGCATCCCCCTAGTAAATGGCTCACACTCAATTCTCACATCACCTAAGACATCATCACCAATAACATCATTATATTCTCTATTAGGCATTGATAACACTACCGACCAACCACGATGCATCGGGTCGTCAACAAAAAATACTTGTTTGACTTGAGAAGCCAAAACAAATTGGTCATTCCTATGTCCAATTTTACTCAAATCTACAAGGGTAAATCCAAGTTCGTCCACTACAAGACCAGAAGTATTATCAATCCAATCACACCTAAAGACTGGGATTGTAAACTTTTGGTAGTCAAGGTCCCAAATTTCTTGAATGACACCATAGAAACCCATATTTGAGAGAATTGGGTTTTTATCCTTGGCCACTAGCAACTTGCATAGTATGTGCAAGTAAATAAACTCCACTATTTTGAGTTGTCCGCACATCATCTTGTGCCTTGATGTTGAATTTAATACCTTTAATGAGATAGCTCCTATATAATGGCACTGCCATGTTTGGACCAGCTGCTAGCCACCTTAAATTTTCTGATACGCCATGATTGTCTTCCTCATTAAGTTCACTTTGAAACCTGCAAATTAATCATAACTTAATTCAATCTAACATAGAAAGAAGAAAATTAAAAGTCCAATATGTTATTCAATAACATATACCTTGAAGCGTAGCCATTGAATGAAAGTGCTATTGTGCTTATCCTGCAGCCACTTTGTTCTCTTTCTAAATTTTGGATAAGCGGTCTGGATGTGGATCATATGTTGCCTACATGACACACAAAATTCAAGTATTACGGTCCCAAACATATAAGATAAACATAAGAAATAATTTAAAATGGAAACTTAAAGAATAAAACTCATACGTACTCGATATAAGGTAGGACTTCCTCCGTATTCTCCAAGACATATAGATGTGCTTGGTTCAACAGGTCCCGATCAACTACGCTCACTGTGCAACCTGATAATGGCTTTGAAACTCCCATCTTTTGGCTTGAAGGCACTCCAACTGTACTAACATCAGATAAATGCTCGGTACAAAACTCTACAGCTTCTTCAGCTATATACCGCTCAGCAATGCAACCTTCGGGACGAGTACGATTCTGAACATACCCCTTTAGCACTTTCATATATCTTTCAAACGGATACATCCATCTAAAATATACTGGCCCACACAGACGAACTTCTCTGACAAGATGTACTACTAGATGAACCATGATATCAAAGAATGAAGGGGGAAAGTACTTCTCAAGCAAACACAAAGTAACTACTACATCTTCTTCCAACTTATCTAGCTTGGAAACATCAACAGTCTTTGCACATATAGCATTGAAGAAGAAGCACAAACGAGTTATTGCATACCTTGCAGGCTTCTCCAAAACAGAACGAATTGCCACAGGGAGCAATTGTTGCATTAAGGTATGACAATCATGTGATTTAAGGCCAAGAAGTCTTGAATCTTGTAAAGATACAAGATTTTTTATATTTGAAGAATAACCTTCAGGGACCTTCATACCATAGAAAGAATTGCAAACCTCTCTCTTCTCTGCTCTTGACAAATTCCAAGGCCCGGGAGGCAAACGAGTACGTCTTTCTCCATACTCGGGTTGCAAATCAGTTTTGACCCCCATGTTCAATAAATCTAATCGAGCAGCAATCCCATCTTTATTTTTTCCAGGGATCTCCAGCAATGTACCAATGATACTATCGCAAACGTTCTTCTCAATGTGCATAACATCTAGGACATGCCTCACAGGAAGGTATTTCCAATACTCGAGATCAAAGAATATTGATTTCTTCTTCCAACAAACTCTGTCACCATCTTCAACCATATGCAGCACTTCTTCTCCGGTTAATGGCTCAGGAGGCGTGCCATATTCAGGTTTCCCATTAAAAGCTGCACGTTGCCTCCTATATGGATGATTGATCGGTAACCATTTTCTATGCCCAATGTAACAAATTTTGTGGCCATTTTTCAACCTGTGACTAGGTGTATCATCGCCGCATATTGGACAAGCTTTATATCCTTTAACAACACAACCAGATAAGTTTCCATAGGCGGGGAAATCATTAATTGTCCACATTAATGCAGCTCTGAGTGTAAAGTATTCTCCATTATGTGCATCATACACTCCTCCAATCCCATCCCACAAAGATTTTAAATCATCAATCAAAGGCTCCAAGTAGACGTCTATATCATTTCCGGGCTGTTTAGGACCGGAAATCAATAAGGTCAACATCATGAACTTTCGTTTCATGCACAGCCATGGAGGGAGATTATATGTAACTAAGATAACTGGCCAGCAACTATATCTGCTACTTAGAGAACTGTGGGGATTGAATCCATCAGATGAAAGAGCCAATCTCAAGTTTCTCGGCTCATTACCAAACTCGGGCCATTTATCATCAAGAAGTTTCCAAGACGGGGAATCCGCTGGATGAGACATATAACCGTCAATTGATTTTCTAGCAGCATGCCAAGTCAAACTCTTAGCGGTCTCATGTGATCGAAACATCCTTTTAAACCTTGGAATTGGAGGAAAATACCACACCACCTTCGCTGGCACACCCTCTTTCAAGATTGAATCTTTGCCTTCCTTCCACCTTGAGATACCACAATTAGGACAATGAGTTAAATCCTCATACTCCTTCCTATACAAGATGCAATCATTGGGGCATGCGTGCATTTTCTCATAACTCAGCCCCAATGCACACAAAGTCTTTTTTGCCTCATACATAGAGGCCGGTATTGTATTTCCTTCTGGAAGCAAATCGCCTTGAAGTATCAATAATTCTGTAAAACAGACATCACTCATCCCATATTTTGCCTTCAAATTATACAACTTCACTAATGCCGATAACTTCGTGTACTTTCTACAACCAGGGTACAATGGTTGATCTCCATCCCCAATCACATTGGCAAACTCATAAGGATCAGATCCAAAATCACCAAAATCATTATCATCCATCTCTATTTCTTCAGACACAAAACTGTACCTACTATGGTCATCATCTTCTTCAACATTTCTACTAGCATTAGTAGCTGCTTCCCAAGGTTCTCCGTGAAATGTCCAATTCTTATAGCTTTGGTCAACTCCATTAAAGTATAAGTGATCCCTTATAATTCCAACCCCAAACAATTTCAAATTAACACATTTAACACATGGACAACGGATATGTGTGGTAGTTAGAAGATTTTCTACAGAAAAGTTCAAAAATGCTTCCACCCCTAACTCATATGCCTTCGATCTTCTATCCGAGTGCATCCATGACTTATCCATCTCCGACACTATACCCTATTATATATAATAAAGTGAAAAGACAAGCAATGACCATCACTATAGCAGATTATATAAAGTCTAATAGCAAGTAATATACAACAGAGACGACGGTTTTTAAACAAAAACAGACGTATTTGACATATATAGACGACGGATTTTACGTCGTCTAATTATAACCACGACGGTAGTTAAATAACACCGTCGTGTATAAGTAATAAAAACGACGGTTTAAAGTAAAAACCGTCGTCGTATGCCTGAAAACGCGTCGATATCCAGTTTATTTTCAAGATCCCAAAACCCTATTAAGAACACAACATAGACATGAAACCAAGCAAGAAACCAACATATACATGAAACCAACATATACTAAGCATGAAAACAATAAATCCATTCCCAATTCAACATAACAGAGAGTGATTAAAAGATCCGACAAAATGAAATCCATTCCCATATTCAACATAACAGAGAGTGATCAAGAAAACATTAAACAGAAAATCCATGAACCCATACCTCCAACAACATTATTAACAGATCGCAAAACATATACCTAAAACCCTTTAACAAAACAACGTAATAATCATTCAATGAATTTACAAGGGGAAGAGAGGGTTTGTACTTACAGGTTGGCAGAGCTCACAGATTATGGCTACTTGGATTCGACAAGCCTGGCCCAACTTTGAATTAGAGATAAGGGAGAGAGCAAAATGTTATGTTGCCCGAAATATGAAAATTTTAGGTCGCGCGAAATATTTTTGGAAAGCGAGCTCTTTAAAACATCGATGAAAAAAACAATCGAAGTCGTCAAAACTAAGAGAAACCATGGCGAAAGTTTTACCAAAACCGACGTAAATTCATTATTCCATGACCCAAACACTAAACTCAATGCCGTTTATTTTAAAGAAACCACGTCGTCTGTTAACCAATAGCGTCGTTTGAATAACCTTTTACATTATTTTTAAAATCGATGACGTTGTTATTCATGTACAACGTCATTTTAAAGGAACATAAACACCGTTGTCAAAAAAGTAAACATCGACTGAAAACATAAATACCGTCGTTAAAAAATAATACCCTAAACCCTAAATTATATATTACTAAAATATAATTTTATAAAAGGTTTTATGGTTTTACAGCCTAATATATAACGTCTTTTAAACCGTAAACCCCAAAAATTATCCTTTAATCCTAAACCCTAATAAATAACAACCCTAAACCATCAAACTACAAGTGATGTTATGACTCATCAAAACAATTTATTTTTGGTGGTCATTTTAAATTTGTATTACTCAAACTGAATTTTTTTAAGGTTTAGGGGGAAGAAAATATATCAATGACTTCATAGGAGTTGAAGTTGCATTTTTTTTTATCTATTTATATTTATTATGAATATTTTGAATGAAATAGAATAAAATATTCCTACAAACACAACAAACCACGTCCACTTTAAGAAAGTAACAACGTTGTAAATATAATAAAAGACTTACTTGTTGAAAGGACGTCATTTAAAAGCGAAACCATGGCGAAATTTTTACTAAAACGACGTCCTATCGACGTACAAACGTATATCACGACTTAAACAAAAAAGGTGTCGCCGTGTAATTTAATTACAACGTCATACCTATCGTCTAAATATCCTTTTACGTCGGTTTTGTTTCAAACTGTTAAACGTTGGTTACGCAATTTGTTTTTTTTTAAATTAAGAAAACCTCAACAAATTTTCAGGGAAAAAAACGGATGTATATTATAGACAAAATTTGTACATTATATAAAAATATAAAGTGTTCTAAAAATCCTCTAGTCCACATGAAGGCAAACAAACTCTGCCCATTCATTCCTGACTTCATCAATGGCTGCTTGGGGGTATGGCGCTTGCTCTTTTCCCTGGCAAACTGCAATCCATAAACAATGATTATTAAGCTTTATAAATAAAAAGAAATTCAATCACAGACGACGCTATTTTCATAACCGACGTAGTATATCGATTCAACGACGGTAATTTTAAAGGACCGTCGTTGATAATGCAAAAAACCACATAAAATGTATCTGAAAATTTTCTTCTTACCGTCTTCTCAAACTCCAGGGAAGGATCCATGATGATGTCTCTCATGAAGCGCATGACATAATACCCGCATTCGACACTGCTGGGTTGCTTTGGTGTGCCTGGCAGAGTTTTCCAAATGGGTGCTTTACGGCCTTGTCTGCCTATGTGGGAATTATAAATTTTTATAGCACTGTTCACCATGTTTTGGCCTCCTCATTAACCACACGATTTCCAGGCAGAGGATCCAGAAAATAGACGGTTTCCTTCTTTGCTCTCACAATCAGCAAGACCCAATGACGGCTGCACAAAATTAATATAAAACAAATATATATAAAAAGTCAGCACAAGAAAACAAACGACGGTTATTTATAAAAACGACGTATTATATAGTTTCACACGACAAAATAACGTAGCAATCGACGTCATTATAAATGTATCACGACGGTAATTAACTAACGACGTGGTTAGTTGTTTCAAACGACTCAATAAATAAAGAACCGACGTGGTTAGATGTTTCAAACGGCACAAAATTAGTTAAACAGTTTTATACGCAGTGCATCATACAAACAAAATCCTGTTAAGGAGACTAACCCTGGATTGTAAGGTGTAGGGGACTTTTCTTCCTGCAGCTAACGGGCTGGGCTGCTGTAAAAGGCGGATTGAGGAGATTGCCCCTTTTTGTTTAGGTTCAAAAATTAAGCCCCAAAATACTTCGAAAGGGCAGCGAAACCTTAGGAAACATTTTGGATAATCTTCACCAATGAGAATAATAGTGACTTGCAGATAGTTTTGGCATGCTTAAAGATGGTTTTTTAGCTCAGCATGAGTGGCATGAGGCATGGGGAGCAAAACCAACATGGGTTTAGCACTAAGAGAGAAATTAGGCTTGGTTTATGGGAAATGAAAGTGTTTAAGTAAGGGATGAGGTGTTTTGTGAGGAATTTTGACTAGAGAAAGAGAAAAAAAGAAAGGCAGGGTTCTTCCGGCAGCTGCCAGAAAAACAAATTGGAGAAGAAGATGAACAGTGCACGAGTCTGAGTTTTGCAAGATAGAGAGAAAAGCTTGCTCTCTGCAGGTTGTGAGTTGAGTTTGTTGGGTAGGGGAAGGCTCAATTTATAGCTGCCGGAAATCACCATTTTTCAAGAAACCCTAATGGCTTCTACTTACTTTGGCTGAGCTTTTCTTCCTTTCTCCTCCCCTTCTCTGACTTCCCTTTCTTGGCAAAGATTGCTTCTGTCTATTTTCATGAATTCAGGGGATTTGGGGGCTCAACATCCTCCTTTCCCGCGGCTGTGCAATGAGAGCTTCCACTCTTGGTTTGCTGTTTTTTCTTCTTTTCTTTCCTCTTCCTTGGCTGAATCTGATGAAGGAAAAGAGGTGCAAATGTATGCTGGTCCAAGGGATGCTTCTGACAGCATGCGGGATGGTATTCATCGGTTCTTTGGATGTCTTTGGCTTGGGACTGGTTTCCAGCAGCTTTGCTTAAGGAGCCTGCCGTCTACTCCTTCACGTGTTCTCTGTTTTTCAAAAGGGCTGAAGCTCTTGTGGGCTATTTTGGGTTTTTCTAAGGGCCAAGATGGCTTTCTAAGCAAATGGGCTTGTTGGGCTTCTTGATTTGGGCTTATTATTTTTTGGTTGGGTTATCTCTTGGCTAGGTTATTTTGCTTGGGCTTTTGGGCTATTTTTCTCTCTTGTGCTTACCCACATGTTTGGGCCTAAGAAATGGGCTTGAGTCTCGAGGCTCCCAAGCAACCCGAGACTTTCCATTTCTTGGTCCATCAATGGGTCTCATGTTGATTTATCACCATCCATGCCACAACCCACTCAAGCAAGCCCCGGGTCTTTTTTGAGTGGCTTGGGCCCACCTAGGCTTGTAGCGTGGTTGGGTGCGAGATAACGGCATGGCATGTTGCTCGGCATATTTTACCTTATCGCCCCTGGGAAGGATTGTTTTAATTTTTAGCATGAGTTAATTATATTTTATCGCGAATCATAGCATGATAATTTGTTTATTTAGCGTGGCATGTGGATTATAACTCGCATGCGATAGATCCTTTTTTTCTTTTCCCTTATGGAATATTGTATTGGGCTGATAGTGCTCGGGCCCAATCCATGGATTTTTTGGGCCTCAACATTCATCATGAAAATCTGTTCACCATCTGTCTTCTGAAGTCGACTGGCTACAATTCGTGATCTGTCAGTTAGTGACCCAACGTTGGCATTAACTTGAGCAAGGTTGATAAAGCCAACCATGTTGAGCATATTTGCTACTTTCAAATGATCATATAAGCACCTAAATATATAAAACAAAGATATATAAAAAAGTCAGCACAAAAAACACACGACGGTTATTTATAAAAAACGACGTATTATACAATTTCACACGACGAAATGAAATAGAAATCGACGTTATACTTAATTTATAACGACGGTACATAACTAACGACGTGGTTAGTAGTTTCAAACGACTCAATAAATAAACCACCGACGTCTTATGCTATAATGATTTTTTTTTAACACAAATTTGAGTGTGAAATAAATATTTGATAAGGACAAACCTCATATATACTGCAAGCACAGTAGCCCCAATTTCTTCCATGCCTACTAACTGTGTAATATCTTCAGGCAAGACGAAGGTACTGCGATCTGCACCAAACACCTTCTCCCCAATTGTAAAGGTCATGATCTTTTCCTGAGGCTTTAGTGTGGTTTCCACATAACGACAAAGGGATTGTAAGGAAGATGGCACCTCCACCTTTGAATAATCAGCTACTTCAATACCCTGTTTAAAGAAATAAAGCAAAATAAAATGACGTGGTAATTCAATAAACACGACGGTTTAAAGAAAACAACGTCCTCTGATAATAATTTAAATGACGGTAACAAAACACCGTCGTGTTGAATAATTTATTACGTCATGGGAAACAAATTACGACGTCTAATTTGAAAACAAACGACGGTTTTAAAGAAACTATCGACGTTTGAAATTTGAAAAAACAAATAAAAAAGGCAAAGTTATGAGAATATACCTTTTCATCATGCTTTTCTTCATCTTCTTTTTTTTCTTTCTTCTCTCCATCTTCTTTTTCTTCTTTATTTTCTTCATCTTTTTTTTCTTCTTTATTCTCTTCAACTTTTTTTTCTTCTTTCTTCTCTTCATCTTGATTTTCTAAATCCCCAGATTTCTGTTTTAAGTAAAAAAGAAATATATATATATATATAAGACAAATTGTACAGAAAGTAAAAAAATTAAATCAAAACGTCGTGGTAAGGCATAACTTAAGACGGTATGTAAAAATTATGGACGTCTTAAAATTATTAAACGATGGTAAATAATAAACGTCGTGGGTAGTATATCGGTAAGGACTAAAACCGTCGTCTAAATCACCACAAAAGTTTTCAAAAATAACGACGTCTAATGGCGTGTAAAACAAGTAAACTAAATACGACGTTGTATTGAAATACAAACGACGGTTTATTAATAAAATTGTCGTGGTATGTATTTCAAATGACGGTTTGCTTCATAATAACGACGTCTAATAGCTCTTTTAAAAAACAGAGAATTCAAAGTTCAGATATGTTACCATTTCTTCTTGCTTTTCCCCATTTTTGGCAGTATCATCCTCAAAATGTAGGGATCTCACATCCCCAGAGCAGCTTGCTTTGTCAGACATTGGATTTTTGGGACTTTGCTCTAGACCTTGGTTTTGACAGGGGCTAGTTTTCGGTTTAAGCATGCTTGGATCAAAATTGGGGATGAGTTGGGAAAGCTGACTCAGTAAATGTTCCCTCTCAGCCTCTACCAATTGCTTGGTTCTAGCCTCCATCCTTAAAGTCTCTTCCCTTGATCTAGCTTCCATCTTCTTAGTCTCTTCTTGAAGGACAATTCTTACACTTTCCTTCAATTGATCGGCAAACTTTACCCTCTGTTGTCTAGGTAAATTGAAGTATTTCCTAGGGGGAAATCCCAACACCTACCCCTCTTACTCTCCCTGGATGCTCGGGACCCAAAGCCAAGGTCAACACATCATTACTGCCAGATACACTGAGACTGCCTTCAGCCACTTGTTTTTGCAATTCATCCTAAAACAAAGACATAAAAAAGTCAGCACAAGAAAACACACGACGGTTATTTATAAACAAACGACGTATTATATAATTTCAAACAACGCAATAACATAGAAATTGACGTTATATATATATTTATAATGACGTGGTTAGTTGTTTCAAACGACGCAATAAATAAACCACTGACGTCTTATGCTATAATTACAAAAAATAGCGTAGCGATTCCAAATTCAGACCTGTAACGACGTTTTTAAAACATCTCGACTTAGTAATATATTCAAACGACGCAATAAATAAAACACTGACGTCTTATGCTATAATTACAAAGACAGAGTAGCGATTCCAAATTCAGACCTGTAACGACGTTTTTTAAAACATATCGACGTAGTAATATCATTCACACGACGGTAAATATAACATAAGACGTAATAAGAATTATCAAGGCAATATAGAATTTAATAAAAATTTAAAATAGAGTGAGTAGGCTTACAATTAATTTTGCTTTCTCTGCCACCTTTGGATCAGGGATGTTACCATCTTTGTCTTGTCTAGCTTTCTTCCATAAGGTAGATCGATCAATTTCTACCCCAGGCATGGTTTCCTCCAATTGATCCTCCAAACCAGCATATCCTTTTCGAGACAATCGATGATTGTACTCAAGTTTCTCCCTAATCTTTGAATGTTGAGAATGCACAGACACAAATTCTTGGGATAACCTTGAAGCCACAAAGGCATCCCATTCTGCTTTCTCTATGAATTTATATAATTCAGGGGGTTGGCTTAATTTCTCCCTCTCCTTGATGTATGGAAGGATATAATGCTTGGTTAGTGTAGACTTGAAATCCTTCCATTTCTTGGCAGCAGAAGATAACACCAGGTTCTTGCCCCCTTGACCTACCACAAAACCCATGTCAACGGCTTCCCAAATCTGCTCCTTTATATCCTTGGGGATTTCAGCCCATTTCTTGTCCACAAGTGGGACTCTGGAGCGTGCCAACACACCAATGTAAGACTGCATCTCAGTATGTGCAGGGCCACATCCTTTTCCCCTTTTATTGTACTCAACAACTGGCTTGATTTTCTGAAATTTTCTCTTCACAACACAAGGCATTGTGCTCATACCTCGACCTGACTTTGAATCCTCAGAAATTGTTGTCGTGCTGGTTGGTTCTGTCTCAGCAGATGAAACAAACTTCATCTTCTTCAAGGACTTGTCTTGAGGAGTTACCATTCCAAGCTCCTTACCTCCATTTTTTTTCGAGCCAGAGTCCTTACTTTGGTCTTGAGAAACCATGGTTACAGACAAATCAAACCTGCAAGTGAAAATATTTCAGGAAAAAATTAAGAACACAAACGACGGTTATTCATAAAACACGACGTATGATAAGATTTTACACGACGCAATAACATAACATCAGACGTAATAAATGTTTAAAACGATGGTACTTAAACAACGACGAAACAATATAAAAGAAGACGTAATAAGAAGTTATTACGGCGATATTTACACTCCGTCGTGATATTTAAATTCAAACGACGTTAATATTAATATAACGTCGTGGTATTAAAATTAACACAACGTGAATAATAAGATACCGTCGTCTATATAAGATTCCAAACCCTTCTTTCTTTGTCTGTGAATGTTTGATTGCAGGTTTGATTTCTCTGAACCATGGTTTTTGTTTTTCCTAATTTGATAAAATACAAAGACAAAGAAAGAAGGTTTTGGAATCTTATATAGACGACGGTATCTTAGTACAACGTCGTGGTATTAACATTCACACAACGTGAATAATAAGATACCGTCGTCTATATAAGATCCCAAACCCTACTTTCTTTTTCTTTGTATTTTATCAAATTAGGAAGAACAAAAACCATGGTTCAGAGAAATCAAACCTGCAATCAAACAAGAAAATAAAAAAACGACGGTCATTTTAAAAACAACTTAGACCAATTTTCAGACGACGCTAGGGCGATTGATGAACCGTCGTGGTCTACATATTTAACCACGTAAATAAAAAGCTACCCATCGTCTTATTTAGTTGAAGTAGTTGTGTTCAAAGTTGGAAACTTTCCCTCTTGTCTGTATATTTTATCAAACTTGGAAAGAATTAAAATGATTTTGGCCAGAAAAAAGGTAAAAAGATTTTCAAAACAAAAACCGTATGAGCATGCAAAACAGCAACAAAAATAGTGAGAAATGAAAGCTTACCTTTTGCGTGCAATGAAAGCTTCCTCTCGGAGTTTGGTGTTTAAGTTCAGAGAAGACGACGAAGACGAGAGAAGACGATGAGATACACTGACAGTTCTCTGACAAGGAAAAAAGACGAAAAGTTTTCTCTCGGAGATTGAAATTTTTTATCGGGTTTGGAAACAGTGCATGTGTAAGTCAGGTAGACAAAAAGTTGAATATATACACAAACCGTTTCAAAAAATAAGACGGCGGTTTACAGAGAACGACGACGTATAAATAAAAAACTACGACGATAATTTGAACTTAGGACGTGGTAAATAAATACGACAGTAGTGTTGTAGGTACCGTCGTAGTAAACTCCAAAATAAAAGTCGATAAATTAATATCTCGCGTCATGGTACAAGGATTTAACACGTCGGTTTTTTTAATATACCGACGTGGATTTTTATAATATACGACGTATATTAAATAATAACCGACGTTGATTTTAAAATTAAACGGCGGTTTGTGTGTAATGACCGCCGTGGGTTTTAAAAATTTATTGTATAAATTTGTCGCTTTCTTTCAGTTTCAGTTTTCATTTAGGGTTCCAAGTTCTTCCTCTCTCACAGACACTCTCTCTCACCTCTCAAAGACAATAATTTGGATGTCTTTCTCAAAGAGAAATGGAGCTTACTCTCCAACAAATCTATGTCCACAAGAAGAAGCTTGTCATCTAGACTTCTCACTTCCGTGATCAGGCCCGATAGGAGACTTAGTGCTTCTGAATACTCCTTGTTTTCCATCAAAAGAGATGCAAGCCTGGCCTCCACTCGCTGTCGAAGGAAAGTTCGCTTCTCAGCACGGGTCCACTGCGCCATTTCTTTGCAAAGGGAAATCTAAAGATCAGATGTGCCTGATCCTCTGCTCGATTTTCTTGGCTAAGAAGATCCGTTAGATTTGTGATAGCCTGTTCCTTTATCCGTAGAGCTTCAGAAGAAGAAGATGGGTTTTCAAGAATGCGATAAAGAATAGAAATGGCTTCAGATGGCCTCTAAAGCCTGAGCAATCGAATTTGTAAAGACATTGTCAATGCTTTGAACTATCAAAGTCCTGCAAAAAGAGAACAGACCAAATTTGAAACAACAATGGTTTTTTGTTCTATCGTCGTCTTTTTTGGTCGTCTTTTTTGTCGTCGTAGTATATTAAAGTAAGATGGCGGTAGGTTTATAATTACCGACGTAGATTATTTTGTTAACGTCGTTAAGTGTAATATAATCGACGTGGATTTTATTTTTTAATTATAAATAGAGTTTTTTGTCCCGAGTTCTTTCAGTTTTAGTTTTCAATTACAGTGCGTTATAAATAGGGTTTTTTTTCCTGAGGAAATTTAAAATGACAGAAATTAATGTTCTAGAATTTGTAAAGTTTCTTGTTTGGGTGACTGATTTAAATTAAATACGAATATAAAAACAACGACGGTTTTTTTGTTCTACCATCGTCTTTTTTGTTGTAAGATGGCGGTAGGTTTATAATTTCCGACGTCTTTAATTTCTACATCAATTACTTAATTGATTCTGTCGTTGGTTTTTTGCTCTGAGACTAAGACGACGCAATATATTTGTTTCGCGACGTGGATTCTTTTTGTTAAATGTCGTTAGGTGTAATATAACTGACGTGGATTTGATTTTTTAATTATAAATAGAGTTTTTTTTTCCGAGTTCTTTCAGTTTTAGTTTTCAATTACAGTGCGTTATAAATAGAGTTTTTTTTCCCGAGGAAATTTAAATGACGGAAATTAATGATCTAGAATTTGTAAAGTTTCTTGTTTGGTTGACTGATTTAAATCAAATACAAATATAAAACAACGACGGTTTTTTGTTCTACCGTCGTCTTTTTTGTCGTAAGATGGCGATAGGTTTATAATTTCCGACATCTTTAATTTCTACGTCAATTAATTGATTCTGTCGTTGGTTTTTTGCTCTGAGACTAAGACGACGCTATATATTTGTTTCGCGACGTGGATTCGTTTTGTTAAACGTGTTATATGTAATATAACTGACGTTGATTTGATTTTTTTAATTATAAATAGATTTTTTTTCACGAGTTCTTTCAGTTTTAGTTTTCAATTAGGGTTTCAACTTTTTCTTGGCCTTTTCTCTGTCTCACCTCACCTCTTAGGACGCAATTGTTTGGATGTTGGTGTGTGTGTGTATGTTTGTGTATTTGATTCACAAACATACACACATGACCAATTTTCAAACAATTGTCTATCTAATTGCAAATCTGTGGCTGCCGTCGTGAAATTTTAGGAGGCAATTGTTTGGATGTTGATGTGTGTGTGCGTTTGTGTAGATACACAAACGCACACACATCATCAACTTCCAAAAAATTGTCTCTCTGATTGCAAATATGAGGCTGCCGTCGTCAAATTTCAGAGGCAATTTTTTGGATGTTAATGTGTATGTGCGTTTGTGTATCTCAAAGACACAAATACACATACATCATTAACCTCTAAAATATTGTCTTTCTGGTAAGATTATGATGAGGAACAGAGTTCCATCTGGTAAGATTTCGTAACCCTTGGGATCTCAGAAAAATCTGATTATGTCGGCGGTTTTCTATTTAAATCGTCGTGGTTATTTCAATTCTTGTCATTAAGTTGATCTACCGACGTAGGATAACAAAATCCAAGAAATAAATTGTTAAAAAAATTCTTATTAAGACGACGGTTTAAATATAAGGTATGACGTATAAAGTGAATAAATACGATGTTAAATTTTATAATACGTCGTTAAATGAAAAACCCCAACGTGGTGAGAGTTAAAGATACCGTCGTAGAACTATACGAGAAAGACGTCGATATATTTATCTTTGCCGTAGTTGTACATTAATTTAATACGGCCGTATTTTGTATTATATCGCCGTGGATTTATTTGTAATTATACGGCGCCTTATACAAAAACTTGGTCGTGTTAATTTCTGAGTAAAAACGGCGGCTTTTTTTTGAAATCGTCGTCTATACTTTTTACGTTGGTCTATTCATAACTTCTGCCGTTCTTTGTTGGCTTAGATTTTAGTTTGCAGAAATCCCATTTCAATAAGACGTCGGTTTTTTAATTAGGTGCGTCGTCTTTTAGGAACAACCATTGGAATCTCCATTTTTTAGGTGTCTAAGGTGTTATTACACGGCGGTTTTATAAAACCGTCGTCTTTTAAAAAACAACGACGGTTTTCCCTTAGACCGTCGTTTTTTTCTGGTCGTCTTTGTCACTTTTTGTAGTAGTGAAAGGATACAGAATCTATAGGAGTTCAGGAGGTTATAGGCTCTCTAAAATCTCATGAACAACGACTGTAAAGGCATAATGAGAGAGTGACTGAGAAGGCATTCTCTAGCCTGAATGTGACTTCTAAAGACCAATCAAACACAGGGTAAGCAGGTAGTTCCAAGTCTAAAAAGAATTGGAAATCTCAAAAGGGAAGAAGTGGGACTGAAAGTCTGACAATAATTCCAAGAAGGAAAATCAGACTGAAGAAGCAAAGGTTCCCTGCAAAACCTGTGACAAGTTGCACTATGGTGTCTGTTGGTTCAAAGGTAAACCAAAATGTTACAAATGGGAGAGGTTTGGTCATATAGCCAAAGAATGCAGAGGAAAATCTGATCAAACTGCTAACTATGCATCACACAAAGAGGAAGAAGGTATCATGTTCTATGCTTGTCATGCTGCTTCAATAGTAAAGAATAATGGTGTGTGGTATGTGGACAATGCATGTAGCAATCATGTGACCTCACATGCATCTCTCCTAGTCAATATTGATGCTAAGGTTACTACAAAAGTGAAAATGGGCACAGGAGACTTAGTGCAAGCAACTGGTAAGGCACTTTGGTGATTGACACTAAAGCTGGGCCTAGATATATCAAAGAGGTTATGCTTGAACCAGGATTGGATGAAAATTTACTTAGTGTAGGTAAAATGTTAGAGCATGGGTACTATCTGGTTTTTGGCAATTTTATGGTGAGATATTTGATGACAGCTTCATGGAAAATCTGGTGGCAAAAGTTTCCATGACAGGAAACAGATGTTTTCCACTCTCACTAAAATATGCAAACTCTGTGGCTATGAAAGCAATAGTTGAAGAATCCACTTGGTGTTGGTACAAGAGGTTTAGTCATTTGAATATGCAGAGTTTGAAGTTGTTACAACAACAGGAGCTGGTCTATGGATTGCCTGAAATTGGCAATGCATACAGAATTTGCCAAGACTGTGAAATTGGAAAATCACACAAGGAGGCCTTTGGTAAAGAGAATACTTTGAGAGCTAGTGTACCTCTGGAACTGGTTCATTCAGATGTCTATGGACCAATGTAGACTACAACAATAGGTGGAAACAAATACTTCTTGACTTTCATTGATGACTGCACTAGAATGTGCTGGGTGTACTTCATGTAGTTTAAGTCAAAAGTGTTTAACATTTTCAAGAAATTTAAGGCTATGGTGGAATTACGAAGTGGCTACAAAATCAAGAAACTTAAAAGTGACAGAGGTGGAGAATATACTTCCACTGAATTTATGTAGTTTTGTGAAGAAATTGGCTTGGAAGGCCAACTAATTGTGGCCTACTCACCTCAGCAAAATGGAGTTGCTGAGAGAAAGAACATGACCATTGTAGAGATGAGCAAGACAATGATGAAAGAGAACAAACTACCATACAAATTCTGGGGAGAGGCAGTGAATACAGCTATCTATATTCAGAATAGATGCCCCACAAACGCTTTAGACAATATCACTCCTTTTGAAGCTTTTAGTGGAAGAAAGCCTGGAGTTAAGCACTTGAGAGTGTTTGGCTCTATCTATTTCTGTCATGTGCCTAGTCAATTAAGGTCTAAGTTGGAGGATGCAGCTATAAAATGCATTTTTGTTGGCTATGGAAAATGTGAAAAGGGGTACATAGTGTACAATTTGTAGATCAACAAGATCACTACATCCAAAGTGTGACCTTTGATGAGAATTCATTATGGGATTGGGACAAGCAAACTGCTGATTCTATCTCAATTCCAATGAGGTTTGAAGACACTTCTAGAAGCTCTGAAGAGGAATATGATGAAACAATGATTGACAGCACCTCTAGACCAATTGAGGTGCTTACATATGGTGCTAATGTTGATTCACCAGGTGACTCACCAAGTTCTACACCTGTGAAGCTTAGAGACATCACTGAGATCTATGCTAGATGCAATATGAGCATCATTGAGCCAGAGAATTTTGCAGAAGCTTCAGAGGATAAGGCTTGGCAAAAGGCAATGGAGATAGAAATGGAGATGATTGAGAAGAATGAGATTTGGGAACTAGTTGATAGACCAAGTGATAAACCTGTGATCGGTGTTAAATGGGTTTATAAAACCAAATTGAACCTTGATGGCTCAATACAAAAGCATAAAGCTAGGCTGGTGGTCAAAGGCTATGCACAAAAGCCTGAAATTGACTTCAATGAGACTTTTGCTCATGTGGCCAGACTTAACCCAATTAGGACTCTCATAGCTTTCGCATCTCAAAAAGGGTGGAAACTATAACAGTTACATGTCAAGTCTGCATTCCTAAATGATGTGCTTAAGGAGGAAGTTTATGTAGATCAACCTGATGGATTTGTGATCACACACTATGAGGATAAGGTGTACAAGTTGAAGAAAGCCTTGTATGGCTTAAAACATGCTCCAAGGGCCTAGTATGAGGAATTAATGCCTATCTCATTAGCTATGGTTATGTCAGAAACACAAGTGAGGCTACATTGTACTGCAAGACTAAGGAAGACTCTGGAACTCTAATTGTCTCAATCTATGTTGATGACATTGTGTATACAGGAAGCAGTGGAGAATTAATTACAGAATTCAAGTCTGAAATGATGAGAAGGTATGAAATGACTGACTTAGGTCTGTTATATCACTTTCTTAGTATGACAGTGATTCAAACTGAAACTTGCATTTTCATAAACCAAAAGAAATATGCACTGGTATTATTGAGCAAGTTTGGTTTGAAACAATGTAAGCCAGTTAGTACTCCTCTGGTGACAAGTGAGAAACTGTGCAAGGATGATGGAAGTGAACCTACAGATGAGAATGAATACAGACATATTGTGGGTAGCTTATTGTATCTAACAGCTACAAGACCTGACATAATGTTTGCAGCTAGCCTATTAGCTCGGTTCATGCATTGTCCAACAAAGAAACACTATGGAACAGCTAAGAGGGTGCTGAGGTATATTCATGGCACCATTGATTTTGGTATTGAATATCATAAGGGAAAAGAGGCTATCATAATTGGATATTGTGACAGTGATTGGAGTGGAAGCCAAGATGACATGAGAAGCACTTATGGCTATGCTTTCTCTTTTGGCAGTGGAGTATTTTCTTGGGCATCAGTCAAACAACACAGTGTAGCTCTCTCCACAGCTAAAGCTGAATATGTCAGCAAAAGTGAAGCTACTACACAGGCTATATGGCTGAGGTTTGTGCTAGAAGACTTTGGAGAATTGCAAACTGATGCAACCCCATTAATGGTGGATAATACCTCTGCCATTGCAATAACAAGAAATCCAGTTTTCCATCAGAAAACCAAGCACGTCAACCGCAGGTATCATTTCATCTGAGATGCTTTGCAAGATGAGGTAGTGGACTTGAGGTACTACAAGTCTGAAGAACAAGTGGCTGACATTTTTACTAAAGCTCTGTCTAAAGATCGGTTCAACTATCTGAGAGGATTGCTTGGTGTTAAACCAGTTAACAATTTATAAGAGAGTGTTGAAGTATAAATTGTTTCCAGGTTTAAATTGTTAGTTAGCCAGGTGTATGGCTCATATGCTATCACATTTTGTTGGACTTATAGGTCCAGATTCATGCCAGTGTACAGCTCACAGGCCGGTACAACTGTGTATTGGCTGAGTCGTTTTTGTACTGGTTAAAGAATATATATTGATAGTGGAATGAGATCACACCATGAGTGTGTGCATGATTACAATCATTGCCTAATTAACAGACTCTCTCTCTCTCTTTCAACGTCTCTCTCTCTTTTCTCTCTGAAACATTCTCTCATCAACTTTCTGTGCAAGTAAACCTGCTACTCTGTAAAACTCCAACAGTTACAGTCAGTTTGGTTTGTGTTAGATCTATTTAAAATTGTTGGGGTACTTCTTTATGGTTTCAATTGTTTCCTATTTAAAGCATTGTATTGTATTTTCTGCATTTGTAGCCTTTTCATCATATCTTCGTCGTCTTCTTCTTTATGTACGTAGTTTTCTTTTTGATTTCATTCGATAAGAATATTGTTTCAGGTTTGTTCTATGGTTCAATAAGATGGCTATTTCCTTTCTTTTCTTTAAGAAAGTTGTTAGTTCTTTCTCAAGGAAAAGAGAGAAGTAGAGTAAATACCCAAAGAAAGGTTCACGGCTGCCTCTTTGCACCAATTTCGATGCCTCTCAACAGTAATTTAGAATACAATAATGATATATATCTCTTTTGGTTTACAACTTTTAATCTGGAGCCACTTTTCTTGTTTCTTATATATCAATGAAAAAAAAGGGATTTGCGGTGTTAATTTGGGACTGTCAATGGGCGAGACCCTATGATTCTATGTGCTTTGCTAAGAGCATTTCCACCAGTTAGCCCCTTGCCATGGCAAGGGGAGCCCTAGGGCAGTTACTATTCACGTGAATAGTGGCTGCCCTAGCTCCCCCCAGCAAATGTGTGTTTCCAGCAGTTAGCCCCTTGCCATGGCAAACACTATTCATTTTTTTGTTTTTTTTCACAACTTTGTTTATTTAAACAATTAATTTGGATAATATTTTCGGATAAGATTTTTGGGTTCCTACGTGTCAATTCTATATCAATCGGATAAGATTTTCGGTTTCAAATTTCAGATAAATTTCAGATAAATTTCAAATTTCAGATACATTTCAAAATTCAAATTTGAGATAAATTCAAAATTTGAATTTCAGATACATTTCGAAATTCAAATTCCAGATAAATTACCAATTCCAAATTTCATTTGAATTTCAAATTTCAGATAAGATTTTCATCCTCTAAAATTGCGCCACGTGTCATCTCTATCTGTCTAAATTTTTCTATAAAACCAGAGGCTCAGCTCATACCTCCCACACCATATCTTCTCTGCATCTTCATTTCTCATATTTTAGATTTCATTTCTCAGATTTTAGATTTCATTCTCCATTCTCAATGTCAGACATGGAAGATGTTTTGGATAGGCAACAGCGAGAAAGGCGAGCAAGAATGCGCAGAAGAGCTGCAAGCAAAAGGGCGCAGAGAGAACTAGATGAGCAACTTGGTGTGGCCGTTGCTTTGATGGAGGAAGAAAACCAGAGCCGTCGTGGTTCACGAGAAGGCCGGGCATCGAATGTGGACAGACATAGACATTCTCGGGGTAAGAATCTTCTGGAAGATTATTTTATCCCACAATCTCTGTACTCTGATGTTCATTTTCGAGCAAGATATAGAATGCAACCCCATTTGTTCAATAAAGTCATGCATGATATTTGCAATTATGATGACTACTTTGTTCAAAAGAAAAATTGTGCTGGAGATTTGGGGCTGCTTCCCGAGCAAAAGTTCACAGCTGTGATACGAATGTTGGCGTATGGGTCATCTGCTGATCAAGTGGATGAGATTGCCCGGATGGGGAAGTCCACTATTTTGGAGAGCTTGGTGCGATTTTGTGATGCAGTGGAAAATCTGTACACCATGGACTACCTGCGCAGACCTACGCCCAGGGACCTGCAACGGCTTCTACAAAAAGCTGAGTCTCGTGGATTTCCTGGAATGATTGGTAGCATTGACTGCATGCACTGGCAATGGAAAAATTGTCCATCTGCTTGGCAAGGGGATTATGGTAATCGGAAAGGGCAGAAAAGCATCATCCTCGAAGCAGTTGCTGGTTTTGATACCTGGGTTTGGCACGCCTTCTTTGGAGTTGCCGGCTCTCAAAATGATTTGAACGTCCTGGGTCAATCCCCGGTGTTCAATGATATTTTGAGAGGTGAATGCCCAAATATCACATATCAAGTCAATAATACCGTGTATCAAAACGGGTATTATCTAGCTGATGGTATCTACCCGAGATGGACAACATTTGTGAAATCAATTCCACATCCCCGATCCGAGAAGGAAAATTTTTTTGCTGCCTATCAAGAGGGGTACAGAAAAGATGTGGAGAGGTGCTTTGGTATCCTTCAAGCTCGGTGGGCTATTATCAGGGGCGCGGCGCGTCTATTTGACGAGGAGGTGCTCAGAAGTATAATGATGACTTGTATCATCCTCCACAACATGATTGTGGAAGATGAGTATGATTATGATGTTGAGGAAGTGTATGAGCCAGATCCCATGAACACGACCTTAACACGAATTTATGAAAAACCTATGGGGCCAAATGGAGAACCAGTGCAGCATGATCCGTTAGTTAGAGACGGTACTTTCATGCATCGCATGATTGAGCGCTACACGGAGATGCAATCGTCGTATATTCATGAACACCGTCAAATTGATTTGATGGAGCATTTGTGGGCGGTGAAAGGCAATGAAGGTCAATGAAGTCAAGTGAAGAAGTTATTTTAGTGCATTATGTTTATGTTGTATTTTTAGTTATGCTTTGTTGTTTTTTTCATGCTTTGGTTGTGGTTTGTTTATTTTTTATGCTTTGGTTGTGGTTTGTTTATTTTTTATGCTTTGGTTGTGGTTTGCTTTTTATGTATGAATAAAAAGGAAGTTTGTTGAATATTTTCTTCATTCACTACAAGAAAATCAATACAACTCATAAAATAAAATACATGAATTACCACTAATTTTGTAAATAAAAAAAAATTACAATGAAATGAAAGGCAAGCAAACTAATTTAATGGTACAATGAAATGAAAGGCAAACAAACTAATTTAATGGTACAATGAAATGAAAGGCAAGCAAACTAATTTAATGGTACAATGAAATGAAAGGCAAGCAAACTAACTTAATTGTTTTGATCATTTAACCAATCCGTGTTGCTAGGTCCATCGTCACGAAAAAGTCTTCGTCTCATAACATCCCTTCGTTCTAGCTTCCAATATTGTTTTGTGTCAGGGGACATATGGGTTGTATCCATGGCCATTGTTTCCCGATCCTTATTTTCAATCTTTTCTTGTCGTGCATACTCCCTTTCTTGGCGTGCATACTCCCTTTGTTGGCGTACATACTCCCTTTCTTTTGCATTTTCTACATCAATTGCCCTATCGTGCTCTTGTTGTTTCATGTCCATTTCAATTCTCATGGCTTGCATCCTTGAAAGTTCCTCCAAAAATTTAGATGATGACTTGGTAGAATTACTCCCTCTCTTCGCCTTCGCCGCCTTCCTCCCAATAGGCCTCGGCTCCTTTTCGATAGGTGAGTCTTGACTCATCGGGGAATCCATAGGTGAATCCGATGCCGGTGTCTCATAGAGTGGCGTCTCGTTCAAGACTACCGTCGGACCCGTTGGAATAATTTGGAATTTCTTACAATTCTTCACCACCTCCCAACAATGGGTATGGTTGAAGCTTTTTTTTCCTTGCCCAGTAGCACCAAAAAACATTTGTGCTTGTATAGTCTATAAAAAAAAATAGGAATGCAAGAAACTTTAAAAATTATTGGCAATTCAACAAGTATAAAAAAATAATAATGGAAATACAAGAAACCTTAACAATTTATTAGAAATGAAAAACAAAATTTAAATATTGCAACAAACATTCATATTAATATTGGAAATACAAGAAATAGGAATGCAAGAAACTTTAAAAATTATTGGCAATTCAACAAGTATAAAAAAATAATAATGGAAATACAAGAAACCTTAACAATTTATTAGAAATGAAAAACAAAATTTAAATATTGCAACAAACATTCATATTAATATTGGAAATACAAGAAATATTAACAAAATATATAAATTGCAAGAAATATTTAAATTAACTTTAATATGACATAGAAATTAATAAAACAAAAATTACAAATAATTTACCTCACTGGTAAGGTTTTCCCCGCTTCTATGGTTGTCCATCGCCTTTGCCAAGGCATCCCTCCATTTCGCCAACTCTTTGTTAAGAATTTTCCACCTACTAGATAGTGCTTGATCTGTACGGGTCGTACCAATTACCCTTTCACAAAAATCCTGATGAATTTTTTTCCACATATGACAGAATTTCATCTCATTGCCCGATACGGGACAATGACTAATGTGGAGCCAAGACTCACACAAGCTAACATCTTCCATGACACTCCATGCCCCTCCGGTTTCACTAGAAGAACCCATAAATTTTTCTAGAAAAATTCAACTTGAAAGTGAAAAAAATTTAGACTAGAAAGTGAATAATGGTAGAATGAGAAGAAAATGTATGAAGAGGTGGTGTTAAAAGTGAAGAGTATTTGTTGGTATTTATAGGAAAAAACATCAGTATTTTTTGGGTATTTTTTCAAATTTTTTCCGATTTTTTTTTCATTTTTTTTCATTATTTTTTGGCCAGATTGAACAGCTGCCGTTGGATTGCTGGAAGGACTTCATCGGAGCGCCAGCGCATCGCCACGTGGAAGAGAGCCGTTGGGTGCAACTTCCGATTTTTTTTTTCATTTTTTTATTCGCGAAAAATGAGAAGCGTTGGATTTTGAACAACTTTGATCGGACAGCTTCAGTGCGCGCCACGTGGAATAGATCCGTTGGCGGGGCACTGTAGCGGGCGCGTCAAATTTTTTTTAATGTTGGCGCGTGCAGCACGCGCCAACGTTAAAAAAATTTAAACAGCTGCGCTGACGTCGTCGTGACGTCAGCGCGCTGACGTAGGCCCAAAACTCGTTTTGCTCCTCGGGCTGGACCTGCCCGAGGGCTAGCCCAGGCAATTTTTTTTTCTGGGGCCCACACCTTGCCCTGGCAGCTTTGGCTTGCTGGAAACAT